CTTTCCACCTGTCGGGGGTGGGAAAATGGGGACCCAGATTGTGGGGGCGATATGCTGACTCTGTAAACCGCTTAGAGAGGGCTGAAAGCCCTATGAAGCGGTATATAAGTCTAACTGCTATTGCTATTGCTACTCAGCCTTACTGTTGGGAACTCTGGAAGAGTAAATGTTAGTGTTATTACTTTCATTTCATGTGTTTGCTGAAAATCGTTGGAAAAGCAGGTTGCCTTTATTCAGGGATTAGCCACTAAATTTTAGCAGCATGGCCTTATACTTGTTCCAGGAGACTTTTCATTTCCCATTTCATTCACACGGTCACCAGTTATTTCTCGAGTCTTAACCCTACTGGTATTTATTTATTTATTTATTTATAATCTCTGAACCAGCTGGAGAATGAGACTCAGTTCAGGTCTCTCTTACAATATACTTCTTATATTAGATAATTTATGTAGGGTTTGTCTCTCAGGATATAAAGAGAAAATATCTGCTGCGAACTGCAGGCAGGCATCAGGAAACTCATCTGGCCAGTAAATGCTCAGTTCCATTCATTTGCCCTGATTCCACCCCAAATAAAGAAATTAAAGGGTCATAAAAAGAAAAGAAAAATGTAGGGTTACAGAAATGGAGCCACTTCTTGGGAGAACATCTTAGATAAATGCTTCCAGAGAGTCTTTCTTTCAACAGGAAGTCTGCGCCCATCACGTTTTAACATTTAGAGCACAAGTTCTACAAGCTGAGAATTGCTCTCAATTTTAACAAACCGTACAGATTCTGATGCCTTCCAGATTGGCCAACTGAAGGGAATGAGATTGGGGGAGTGGCCCCATGTACCATGGACCTCAGTGTTTCTCAACCTTGGCGACTCTAAGTCCTGTGGACTTCAACTCCCAGAATCCCCAGCTGGGGAATTCTGGGAGTTGAAGTCCACAGGACTTAGGGTCGCCAAGATTGAGAAACACTGAGGTACCTGCTCTAGGCCAGCATTTCTCAACCTTGGAATTCTGGGGATTGAAGTCCACGCTTCAAACTTGCCGAGGTTGAGAAACTGCTTTAAGCAATACTAGTGGGAAAGAGCCAAACGGTACTTCATTTCGCCCTTGTCAGGAAGAACAAGAGTTTTATACCACCCTCCCGACACACCTCGTTGTTTGTTGGTGTAAAGGAGTTCTACAGGTCTTTCGGGCCACCTTCAGAAGCCTTGAATTCCCACCCCACCTGTGTGGGAGAAGGTGTATTCCTGAGAGGGTTCATGGTACTGGACCTGGGTACTTGAGAGACCGCCTACTGCCAATTACCTCCACTAGACCGAT